AAAAAAAGTAATTTAAAGCAGTTTAACATAAGGCAGCAACATTACAAAATGTGAAAAAAAATTAATTATTAATGAATGAATGAATACTTTCGCAAGGCACTGTATCTGAAGATGACCAAAACTGGGGACATTCACATTACCTAACACTACAGGGAGTGAACTGATACATACGTAGCTTAAAATAACCTACAAAAAGAAGTATGGCACAGCTTTAAACTCTGAAGTGACTAATTAGATGATTCTTTCTGCTGACAAAGATGTCAGATCATTCCAAGTGATCAAGGATATAATTAATTTATCTCAAATAAAGTAAATGAAATATATATAAAAAATGTAGCCCTCAAAGACCAGATACCAGAGGATTTTTCCTCTTCTTCAACCCAAGTATCTTATGTAGCGTTCTACTTTGCTCAGTTTTACAGTAAAATCTTGAGAGTATTAAACAGAGCAAAAAACCCAAACCATTCAACATAGCGTTTAATCTGACTGCCTCTGAGGTACAAATTCAGAAAAAAACTGATTAAATTCATATTTGCAATACATACTGTGCATTAGATAACTCTTTGTTAGTCAAACATTGTGCCAATGAGCAGAGAAAGAAAAAGCTTGTTCAATTAATTATTTTATAAATGTGTTTGAAGGTTAAATTGTTTCCAAGACGACCAGAAATTTGCATAGCACCAATGTGCATGTCAACAATGTATGAGCATCTTCTAGCTCTCTGAAATGGTCACTAATCTCTAAATTCCAAGGGTTTTTGGAGATTTTGCAGCAGTGACACAGATGGCATTATATATAAATCTTACATACAGTACATAAAGCACTTCAGTGAGGCCTTCAGAGTTAGTAAACACCTCATTCATGTGATTTTACATTATCACAAGAAAAAAACTGATGTGATCTTTATGGCATCTTTAAAACCAAATCAGCAGACCCACATTTTGGAATTTTCTATGAACAGTAAATTGATAAAAAGCAGTAAGCCACTGCAAGGTAGAATTAATGTACCAGGTGTTGCCTTTGCAATACTGTTAGAACATAATTAAACTATGTATATTAAAAATTAGTCAAATGTAAATATTATATAACATTTCATTTGTAATATTAGAAAGATAGAAGGATCTCAACTTTTAGACATCACATGCACATGTATAATTCTGATAAACCAGCTCTTTGGTGTGGTCAAGCTTAGAGGTGGAGGGTTTTTTTCTACCTGGTTTGTGCACATCATGACAAAGATGAATTTAAAATAGACAAACACATAGCATTTTATATAGTATACAAGTATGGCAAAGACACATGACAGCAACCACGCTACAAATGAGCATCAAAATATTTTTCTTTTAGGAGGCCCATTTGTAACCAAAGCAAAATTAAAAGAGTAATAGTGACAAACCAGACTGATGAAAACTCTTTCAGGTTGCAAGTTTTGCAACATCATAATCACAGTAAATCATGGTGAAAAGTAATTATCTGTGCAAGTTTATTACTTGATATCTACTATTTAATGGGAGATAAACTATACGAAATGCACCTAAGATCAGTTGTATGGCAACTAAAATGAAAAAACAAAAAACGTAGCACAACAATAGATGATTGTATGCATTTTCTGCTGCACAGAGGGACATCACGCCTGAACGTTTAAAAAATACCTGAACATTTACACATCTATGCAAACCCAGGAGTTCTCATTCTCAAAACCCTCATTTTCCCCATCTTTGAAGTTTCTTGACTAAAAGAAAACATCTTGCAACCCATACATTTACAAAATTATTTTACTATGATCGTAAGAACATTGTTGAACAATTTCACATTTTGTCATTAATAAAATAAAGTTTTGACTTCAGCTAAGTTTTCTCAAATTGATTACAACCAGCCTAATGACTCTGTGTTTTGGGGGACCAACTACACCCAGCAATTTTGTGCCCCATTACATTATACACAAAAATGCCTAGATCAGACCTGTCTAACAGTCTAGACAAGAACAGGATCTTTTCAATAACTAGATAATTTTGTCTTAAAGGAACTTAAATCTGAATTAAAGACAAACTTAAAACAGGAACCTTTTCATATGACATCCATAAATTCATCAGTTTAATCATTACTACTTTAGTCAGGAGTGCATTTTCTGATGATGCCGGGTGAGATGGTATCTACGAGTAAAGCTTTTTCCACACTGAGTGCAGGGGAAAAGTTTGGTGCCATTATGAAGCTGTTGGTGAGCTTTGAGACTTTGTGGCCGACTAAAGCTTTTTCCACAATCTGGGCACTGGCATGGGCGAACGCCTGAATGCTTCTGCTCATGCCTCCTCAAATCTCCCGACTGCCTAAAGCTTTCGCCACACTCTGAACACAGGAAAGGTTTTTCACCCGTGTGTGTGCGGAGGTGCACATTCAGTTGTCCGGAGTGGACAAAACTCTTGCCGCACTGCTGACATGTGTAAGGCTTTTCTCCTGTGTGGATGCGCTGGTGTTGCTTGAGGCTATTAAACCAACTGAATGCCTTTCCGCAATCTGGGCACAGATACACCTTCTCTCCCTGCTTGAAGCAGCTGTGGTTCTTGAAGCCCTTGATTGTGCTAAAGCTCTTGCAGCACTGGCTGCAGCTGTGAGGCTTTTCAACAGACAAAACACCCCCTTCTTGGAAACTCAGATATTTTACACTCATTTCTGGATGGTGACGGCGGATGTGTTTGTAAAGATAGCGCTCATCGGTGAAAGAGAAGGGGCAGTATGTGCAGGGAAAGATGCTGGCATCAACAAGGGCTGAGCTCTGGCGGTGGGATTTGCGGCGTGAGTGGCTCTGCTGGTGGCGCTTCAAGCCAGAAGACTGGGTGAAGGACTTGAGGCACAGCGTGCAGCAGTAGGGCTTCTCCTTGGAGTGGATGGTGCGCTCATGACAACGAAGGTTACACATACGGTTGAAGTAAAGGTTGCAGTGGGAGCAACCGTAAGATCCGTCTCCCTGCTGAATGCACTCATGGGCTTTGAGAAGATCAAAATTATTGAAAGCTTTCAGGCACTCACCGCAGACATGCTGAGAAGCTGATGCTTCATGTGGTTCCTCTATCTTATTATTATCTTGTACTGCACATTGGTGAGTTTTCAGTGTCTCCAAATCAGAGAACGTTTGCTCACACTCTGTGCAGATAGCTAAACTCTTCTGCACTTCATCTTCAGCTGCATACTTGTTTTTAGGTGGTCGCCCCCTTGGTCGTCCAACAGGCACTTTTTTAGGGCAACTCCTGCCTCTTAAAGTGTTCTTCACAGGCCTCCTCCCTCGAGTAGGAGGTTCATAGGTTGGGTCATGCTTGTCAGAATTTTTCTCTGTATCACCCTCAGTCCCTGCTGTTAGCGAGCCGCTCTCAACTAACCTAAGATACTCTCCATGGTGATGCCGTTTCAGATGTTGATACAAATTGAATTTGGCCACAAAAGAGAAGGAGCACTTCGTGCAAGGGTATATATCAGAAGGTCTGTCAGCATCTTTCTCTCTCTTTTCCTCCCCCTGGTGGGTTTGTTGGTGTCTTTTCAGCCCTGTTGCCTGACTAAAGCACTTCCTACAATGGCTGCAGCAATAAGGCTTCTCTTTGGAGTGAATAGTGCGCTGATGTCTCTTCAGATGACAAGATCTCAAAAAGTTACGGCCACATTCACATTTATTTATTTCACCGGAGACCTCAGTAACACAGTTTGTCTGGTCACTCAAACCATTACTGCATGCATCAGACAAATCAGCGCAGTCTGACTTTTCTGAGTGATGGATGGGTTGTCCATTTAGGGTTGAAATTTGACTCTGACAGCTTTCTATCACTGGCTGCACATGGGTTGGAGGAGCTGCATCAGAGGCCAGAAGGCACTGGTCTATGTTTACAGACTCAAGCGGCTGTGTCTGCATGAAGTGTGCATACTCATCGGGATGCGAGCGCTTCACATGAGCACGCAGATAAAAAATGGTTGGGAAGGAGTAATGGCAATAAGGACACAGACAGTCCTGACTTGCCTGTTCTTCAGTTGTTCCTGAAAAAAAGAAATCAATTTACTGGAAAGCCACTAGGCCATGACAGATATCAACAGAAAATGCATAACATTCTCTGTATTTAACTATCCCTCCAAAATAATACTGAATTATGCAGACGATGCCAGCATTTCCCGCTAGCATTTTTTTTTAAATCGCATTTTAAATCGCAAATCACAAAAAAAAAATACTGATGTGCCAAACCATCGGAACCGAACCGTGTTTTTCTTTTTTCAAAATACCTTCTTTTGTGTTCCACAGAAGAATGAAATGCATACAAGTCTGAAACGGCTAACACAATAAACAGACAGAACTGAGATGGAGAAAGAAGGCAGAGCAGCTGCCTGTCCCTGACTATACCTCAAAAACCAGTGAAAGAGGAAAAAGGTGCTTCTCTCTGCTAAACCTGCCTTCCTTAGTTACTGCTGTAAACTCTCTCATGTTTTCCTAGTAGTGTAATTTTAGCTACTATCAGACAGTGTGAAGCAATTGGATTACATCTGGAATTATAAAATAATATCTGGATTAACTGCACATTATGTTGTAACATTATTTAAAGAAACATTCACTCAGATCATGCCACAGCATGAATATAAAAGAAACTTCTATTTGACAATATGGAAAAAAGATGCCACAGAGGAGGTTAAAATCCAAGATGTAGTTACCTAGAGAAATGCATTTTTTATCCCAGATCTTATCCCAGATGATGCCAAGTCCTTGAGCATATTCCTCAGCATACCAAACTCTAAATTCCTGCCCTGGGCTAATAGGGTGACAACAACGGAACAGAATACGCCCATTTTGCTGGAATGCAACAAGATTCTGCTCCGTCTCACTCCTTGAGCACACCACAAACCTAAAGACACAAGATTGAGAAAAATATCAAACAAATGGGTAAACTACAATGCACAACAAAAGCAAACAGAAGAAGTGCTTACTTCATCCAGTTAGAGTGAGTGTCCCTTTCTGCATCTATGTAAGTATATTGATTATTGCCTCTGTAAATCTAGAGAGAAAATGGCATTAATATTTGTTTAGCCAAATGCTTATATTGAAATTGCAATTACAACTCTAACAAATAATAAAACAGTAAGGCTGACACTCACTACCCAAGAGAAGGCACTATCCAATGCCTTTTCCTGAGAGGTCACCTCTCCATCAAAAGGTCCAAAATGCATCCCCAAAGGCACAGTCTCGCCTTGGTTGAAAACCCCAAGTCCTGCATTACAGATGCTCGATCGACCTATAACCAAGCCTTGTGGCAGCGTCAGCAGAGCTCTCTGAGGAATGCCCATAGCTGTTGGCGAGTCACATGTGAATAATGGTGGACCATGAACCTCACACTGGTCAATGAAGTGCTGGTGACACATCTCACAATCTGCCAAAAAACCGAAGAGTAAGACAAGGAGAGGGTATTGCAGACACAGAAAGTGTAAAACATACAAATGAAAGAGAGAAAGGAAAGACATTTAAATTATGCTATGAGTAATTATCTGCATATTTAAATATTTGCATATGTAAGTTTGTATATGTTAATTACTCACAGAAATGTTGGTCATTAAACATGCTATCCCCCTGTCCCTCCATCATCACAACAGAAGAACAATTAGTAACAGAGTCTTGGATCTCTAAATTCTGCTCATCGCTTGGTGGAAAATCTGTCAGAAACAGTTGAAAATAGAGTAGATTCACAGGATGTTGTTGTTTTATTAACATGATAAAGTGCCAACATTACGAAGCAAAAATGTCATCACTTGAAGACAAGTTATGGTGCAATATATTTTGTTAGACCTACACCTCACTTAGGAAAAGAAAATAATACAGCTAAATTAAGATGTAAAGTTTTAATAAAACAGCAGAATAACAATGCATTCCTGGCACTGGCAAAAATTGAAAGTAACGTTAACGGTATATTTGCTGTCGTGACACATTCTGGTGACCTTGTTTTAAATGTTAAAACAGCAGTAAAATAATGGCATATATTCACGAAAATCATTAATCATTCTTTGTTCAAAACATACATATAAAACCATTCAGACAAATAACCAAGAGATATGCAATTAATGTGTACATGTCGATTTGAGCAGTCTAAAGCTAGCATGGTAGGTCTGTAAATAGTTGGCTAACTACTTCGATTTAATATACAACAACACCCACCCAGACTGTCCGACATTGTTTCACTAAATGCAGCAAGTCGCACCTTTTGCTCCTTAACACTGTACGCACATTCGGACACGCGGGTTATTATGCAGTCCTGTTGGACATTCAAGCTTACTAGCTAGATAGCGAACAAGTACCCAACTCGGCGCTTCCCGAAACAGGAAGTTGTAATACGTCGGCGTCTTCTTCTTTTGGAGTTTTATGGCGGTTGGCAAACAAACGATAGGTGCATTCCCGCCACCTACTGGGCTGGAGTGTGGACCATTGATGGAATAGGAAGAACTAAAAAAAAAAAAAAAAATTTAAATTAAAAATTAAAAATGTACGTCGGCGTCGTCTGTCTGTGACGCCATCATTAACCTTTGCTGCGTTCCAATGTGCCTTCTTATACTATGCCCTTAAAGATTGTACTCTTTTGGTGAAGAAAAAGTACACACTTTTGAGTGTGTAGTAGAAGAGTATTTTTTTTTTTACTTGAAGTATAACAAAAAATTACAAGTTTACAGAAAAAATTGGCATACAACTTATATTCAAGGACATCAGTTTAAAGAGGAGCTTAGACACAGAATACAAAAAAAAAACATTAATTCTATAAACCATCTCTATTAATAAATATAGATTAAACACAGGGGATAAAATAAAACATTATAATAAATTATATTTATCAAATAAATCTAAGATTCCAACTTTTTTATTTTTTGTTTTTGACAAAGTTTTTGAGTATTGTCTCAAATAATTCTTAAAGGGTCATGAAACCCCCTGTTCCCTCTCATAGGTTCACTTCAATGCTGCGATGACGTCATCGCTATGGGAACAGCTCCGGTGTGACGAATGTCTGAAGCCCTTATACCATCACGCCAATTTATTGGCCAATAGCGCTTAGCACCGCCCCGAGCATACGTCACGTATGCTCATATATGCGCGCTGCGCGCTATTTCATCAGATTTTAATTCCTTCAGGAAGCGAATCATCTGTTGCCCATCGGAAAGAGATTCTTGTGTTCTAAGCCAGTGGTTCCCAACCTTTTTCAACTCGCGGCCCACACAACCAAACACATATGTTTCCGCGGCCCACTGCAAAAAAATTAACTGACCCTGCTATTTGTTGGGTTAATAACCGAGTACTCAGAAGCTAGATTGTTAACTGTCTTTATTGAATGAAATGGCAATGAACAATAAATGCATTCAAAATTTCAAATATGGCTTCGGCAGTTGATTGAGTCGGCAGCGACTTACAGAAAAGGAAATCCTCTTGTAATTCTCCATTATGTACATACTGTACATAAGCAATGAGGTTGGAAAGGTTTGCTATATCGGTCGATTCATCCAACTGTAGGGCATAAAAGGGACTCTATCGAATGTTTTTAACCAACTTCTGAGTTATGTCATATGCCATTTCATTTATTCTTCTCTCAACTGTATTATCTGAAAGTGAAATCAGATTTAACTGCTTGTGGGCCTTTTCTCCACATATCACGCCAACCATTTCTGTCGTGGCAGGTAAAATCAAATTTTCACCAATTGTGTGAGGTTTTCCAGCCTTTGCGATGAGCTTTACTAGATAGTCACTATGTATTTTCTTTTAGATGTATTTTGAGTCTTTTCAGTGTCAGGCTTACTTGTAGATGGAGAAACATCTGCATTTGTTCTTTTCAGCGACCCTGTTGACAGCCATTTATCCATGTTTGAATCTGCTGTTCTGTAGTATATGCAGCAAAAATATTTTAGAATTGGCGGTTTATTCTTAAACCAATCAGCGAGCTCGAATAGCGGAAGCAAAGTAACAGTTTAATATTTATTTTTTATTGAATTATATATATGAAATTAAGATATTATGTTATGACTTTTTGTACATAAATTTTTACATATATTAACAATATTATGATTTCTTTTAATAGTAATTGGCGGCCCCCCCTGCAATACCGTCGCGGCCCACAGGTTGAAAACCACTGTTCTAAGCCATCTATTTTAGGGTGACCATACGTGCCATTTTCCCAGGACGCGTCCTGGCCAGGATTTCTATATTGCCTAAAATATCTACATCAAAATACCATACAGATAGTTCCTTATGCTTTCAAAATGCTCTCAAGGTATTTTGATGTCATACACCGATCGGTCCTGGGAAAATGGCACGTATGGTCACCCTAATCTATTTATATAGAGCAGTTTACTCCTCTAAGGCGGACACAATGAGTTTTCCGGTATGTATGGATGCATGTTACACACGACTCACGAGGAAACAGGTAGGAAGACCGCTTTGCGGCCTTTATCTATTGCTGTATCCGTGATATCTGTGTTTGTGAGTAAGTAGCGCTCTGGGCTCACTCTCTTTCTGAGGAAGGAGAGATGTTTGTTCAACCCCCGCTGTTCCAGTTCTGCGGTTGCCGACGTGGTTAGTCAAATCTGATTCCCACTCCGGAAGCTCGTAATCGATTCTTTCAGCTGCGGATTAGATGATGCATACTCTACAGCAGCCTCGGGCTCGAGTTCGCAGGCGACACAAGCTGTAGATATATGCTATGGGTTAAGGGGCGAGCTTACTGATATAAAATCCCCATTGCTCTACTCCCTCCCTGGATCAAGTGTTTCTCAAGTTTATAAAACAACATGAGAGGCATTGATTTTTAGGACGTTAAGTCGTGCACTATGATTTTGGTGCTTCGAGCTACCAAGCATTAGTTTGCCCGACTAATTACTATTTCTTTCAGCTCCGCTGCTGCACTGAGCTGAAACAAATAAGTGGAAGAGCTCATGTGTTTCATTGTATTTCTTATAGCAAGCTATAACAGTGAGCAAGCAGGTTTTTCCCCTCTCTCTCTACGTTACCTGCTGCGCTGTACTAATGCAGACACGTTCATTTGATTTGGCGCTTATGCTTCCAACACTTGTTCGTGTACTGTTTTTAGACGCAGACTCTGAGGAGTC